ATATATTAATGTACATATATGCATAATACACAGAGGAATATCATTAATATGTACCATATGTAATGAGCAGATATTGGCCCAGTCTTGTTGCTAGGTCCATACTCCAGCACAATAACATATTTAAAGTGAAGAGCGCACCTACAGGACTTTAAAATAAACAAGATAACGTAATTTTTTTACAGTTGTGCCCTACATACATTCACCATTTCAGTCCCATTACCAGGCTTTCCCTAATATGTCAAGGTAGTTGGACTGAAACATTGATTACATGCAAAGGCACGTCTGCATATTTTTTAAGTTATCTTTTCTAACTCTATATCAGAACACTATGCTGGCGCGATGCATTATGGGGCTGGTAAATCATTTTTTTCCAGGGCTGCTTTTAATTCCCAGTCTGGCCCTGCACAAACAGGACCTCCACAAGTGAAAAAATAAAAATCTATTTAAGCATCAGAATCATTGCGTACCTTGTGACAAATATCTGTTTTGATTTCTTTGAGAGCCCGCTCGGAGAACACGCAGCCACAACCTCTCAGCACGCAAAACCTGAAAACGCAAGGGCACAACAAAAGCACAATCGGTAAGCAGACTAAAGGGGATATTATCGGTTTGTATTACAAAAAGAGAAAAATGAAAGCACGAGTCATTCTATTGCACTGCACCAAATACAGTAATAACAAAGCAAATAGGAATCTCTCTTTTATACGGGTTGTGATGGAACTGTTAAATCTTTTTCTAAACTTACACTGCTGCCGTCTATGTCCTTTAGAATATGAGTTACTATCTTTTATAAAACAGGAAGAGCTTATTGATCAAGGAAGAACCAGAGGGTATTTCCTCTTTAGAAATTGCTTTATTTTTATTACTTATTACTTTGTTTTTAGTTAAATGTATCAATTGGCAAAGGGTATTCAATTCTAACTCACAGCCCAGTATAAGGAGACCTATAGGGCTGTAAAATGAAATTGCCAAAAGATTCCAAAGGCTTGTTTTCATTAATCTCAACAATATCTTAACACATTGCTTGTGATGCCATCAGCCCGTTTATTACTTTATCTATTAAAAATATATCGACTTAATAGATTTTTTACACACTCAAAGCTCTAGTAATGCGTTTTATTCCAGACAATTACGGGGAAACAAACAGAGATAATTCTGCTTTTAGATTGATCCTATAGGAAATAGGGACATTTTGGGGGGAGTCAGGGGAGTTTAGCTCGTAGTGTTTACTGCTAAAGCAAGCTTGGTACCATACAAGGATTAGTTTTCATTACAATAGGTATGTTTGTATGGCAAACAATGCATTTCAATTTGGATGCAGATACATTTTTTCCAGGGAGACTAAGACCGTATGTTCCACTTGGTTAATGGGTCCACATTAAACTGGGATGTACTCCTACCTGTGTCTTCCATTCATTTCCAGACCAACAACTGGACATATAAACTGTGCACATGGCTCATCATACGCATCTCCCTTCCTGTTCCCTTTATCACCTGACCAAGCAGGATTGTCACTCAGGTTCAGCTCGATCACACTCTGGAGGAGAAAAATAATGATTATTAAAGACATAGAACACTGCATTTCTTTATTTATACTAATATCATGTTAATATGTGCCTGTCACGATAAACAACCCTTGGTGACACTTTATAGGATTCAAGCATTGTGCTTATCAAACTGCATATGTTGGTCAAATTTAAAGGGCCACTATAGGCACCCAGACTACTTTAGCTCAATAAAGTGGTCTGGGTGCCAGGTCCCTCTAATTGTAATCCTGCAGCTGAAAACATAGCAGTTTCAGAGATCCAGCCTCTAGTGGCTGTCTCCCTGACAGCCACTAGAGGCCGCTTCCATGGTTTACATGGAGTAAATTGCACTTATTTGATGCTGGACTTCCTCACGAAACTCCAGCGTCAGATTTTCCCCATAGGAAAGCATTAAATAATGCTTTCCTATGGGGAGGTCTAATGTTCGCGGCCATTGTACACCCCTTCACAGTAATGTTATTTCCTGGTGGCAGTGGCCTCTTTTAGCAAGATATTGCACCCTCCACACTGCACAAATTGTTCAGGAATGGTTTAAGGAGCATGACAGAGTTCAAGGTGTTGTCAAGGTCACCAAATTCCCCAGATCTCCATCTGATTGAACATCGGTGGGATGTGCTGGAACAACAAATCCAATCTACGTAGATGCCACCTCAGAATTAGCAGGATTTAAAGGATCTGCTGCTAATGTCAGATACCACACGACACATTTAGAGGTCTTGCAGAGTCCATGCCTCGACACATCAGAACTGTGTTGTAGCACAAAGGGAGAACTACACGATATTAGGCAGGTGGCTTTAATGTTGTGGCTGATCAGTGAGCCTTCACTTGTAAGGGCACATTTACCCAATAGCCGAGTTCCCCTAGATGATCATATTTTTGATAATATATAAAAAAAAAAAACTCCATTCCAGGGGAAATCGTAAACCCCATAACTCGAGTCCACAACTGAATAATGAATGGGCTGCATTGTCCAAAATACAGTAAAATACCAAACTTTATTAGGATACTATTCCCATATAAAACCGCAACAATTAAAAAAAAATAATTAAAAAAAAAAGTGGCCATCTGGCTGACGGTCACTAGAGGTATATATATATTTGTGCTCGGAATTTAAATACGCGATGGATAGTAACTGTGAGCAAAGTTGGTTGTGGTGTGCCGAAACCAACGTACGAGTGGGCCTGTAAATAAAAGAGGGCCCACCAAGGATAATGTAGTTAAAACAGGGTGTAGGTGGGTGGGGACAATCAGCTGAGCGGCAGCGGTGAGTAGGGGCTGGGAGCTTAAGTAGGGGACTTACTCCTCCCACAAATTCAGGCCTAATGGCCTTTCTACTTGTGCTCGGAATTTAAATACGTGATGGATAGTAACTGTGAGCAAAGTTGGTTGTGGTGTGCCGAAACCAACGTACGAGTGGGCCTGTAAATAAAAGAGGGCAAAAAGATAAATTCGAGAAAATACACACTTTATTGCATTTTACAAGACCAAGTTTCTGAAAGCTTGGCGAAGCTCTTTCTCTGGTTGCGGAATATATGCGATATATATGGAGGATTTCCATCGCCCGAGCCTTTTGATGATGTGGACCGGTGCGTTTGTGCTTGAGGCTGCTGAGGCGGCTCCTATGCGGAAGGAGTGCCCGGAGAATGCAGCCGGATTGTGTCCGAGCTTAGATAACAGGGTTCTGACATGTGACATCAATTTAGCCGTGGTAAGCGGGTGCCCTTGTAATGTTAAGAGCGGAGAGTCTGGCAGGTGAGTGCGAAAAGTTGACCGTAGTTGGTCGAGAACTTTCACCGGACACCAGGCATTATCAGTAGGGAAGAGAGGAATTATTGTAGGATGTATTGACCGGTTGGTTTTAGTGGTAGGGATAGAAAGGAGGTAGTGATCCTCTACCTTGGTGAGGTGTGAAGTTTTAAGGCATCGTGCGATATCTCCTTGACAAATCACTGTGAACTCTCTAGGTCTGAGAAAACCGTAGAAAGCGAGATATATGGCAGATTTTATCACCGTATTGGTGTAGCTATCAAATGGGGCTGTGTCAAGGAGATTGCTAAGAGACCTGAAGATAGGCCCGTCTATGGGTAATCTAGTGCTTGCGAGTGGTGGTGAAACCTTTGATATACCTTTCAAGACCTTTTTTATGGGGTATGAAGACAAAAAAGGGGTGCTGTTAGGAAAATTGGTGAGGCTGTGGTGCTGAACCCCGGTGAGGTAAAGTTTAATGGTGTTGTGTGACAGATTAAGGTGTAGGTGGCAGAAAGAGGCAAAAGACACCATGGTTTGGATAGAAAAGTCACCTTGTAGCCCGAATTCTGCAGTGAATTTGTTAAATATGTTAAGTGCCCTATTGTAAGTGATAGCAGTGTTGGGTGATAATGCTTGGTGAGTGAGTGATCTAGCGTGAAGCAAGAGTGTGCTTAATCCAATATTAGTTCGTGAACCCGTGGTGTCCTGGATGGCTGATGGTGAGCTGCTGGGAGTGCCTGAGAAAATGCCTGGAATCGAGAACGAGAAAGAGCGTCAGCGGCGGTGTTGTGAATACCCGGGATGTGAGAACATACTAAGTGAAACTGATTGGATGCTGCCAGCCAGGTCAACTTGCGAATCAGCAGCATGATGGTCAGGGATGATGAGCGCCCTTTGTTAATGATATCGCAAGCTGCCGAGTTATCTGAGTAGCATTTTACTGCCTTGCCGGACCAGAGATGACCCCAGGTGTGCGGCCGCCACAATGGGGTAAATTTCAAATAGGGCTGAGGTCTCCCTGAATCCTGGCAAGGCATCCGTCTCAGTGGGCCAGTGGCCCCTAAACCAGTGGTTCCTGAAAATGGCTGCGAAACCGGTGTTGGCTGCTGCGTCCGTGTGGATGATGGGT